CTGTGGACTGTGCAAAGTTGGCCATGTAGGGGCTTCGTCTTTGACTGGCCAGTCCGCTATATTGGATATCATCACTGGCCATATTTGAGAAATTATAGGAATAAAGAGCATTTCTCCCCATTGTACACCTAAATATGTTAGATTGGCATTTCAGGACCTCACTGGCACCAAAAATGTCATTCATAATTCCATAACAATCCCTAGGAAAACATTGGCCATATATCAAAAATTGGCCATGTAGGGGCTTCCTCATTGACTGGCCAGTGGCAGAGTTAGGCATGAAAATACCATTATTTTGGAATGTAAGAGATATTCACAGGTCGGAAGGCACCATGTGATTGAGTTTGAGCCAATTCCATGCAAAAGTCTGCCCCACCCCCATTACTGTGGACTGTGCAAAAATTGGCCATGTAAGGGCTTCGTCTTTGACTGGCCAGTCCGCCATATTGGATATTCGTCACTGGCCACATTTGAGAAATTATATGAATAAAGAGCATTTCTCCCCATTGTACACCTAAATATGTTAGATTGGCATTTCAGGACCTCACTGGCACCAAAAATATCATTCATAATTACATAGCAGACCATAGGAAAAAATTGGCCATGTATCAAAAATTGGCCATGTAGGGGCTTCGTCATTGACTGGTCAGTGACAGAGTTAGGCATGAAAATACCATTATTTTGGAATTTTAGAGATATTCACAGTTCGGAAGGCACCATGTGATTGAGTTTGTGCCAATTCAATCCAAAAATCTGTCTCACCCCCATTAGTGTGGACTGTGCAAAAATTGGCCATGTAGGGGCTTCGTCTTTGACTGGCCAGTCCGCCATATTGGACAATCGCCACTGGCCATATTTGAGAAATTATAGGAATAAAGAGCATTTCTCCCCATTATACACCTAAATATGTCAGATTGGCATCTCAGGACCTCACTGGCACCAAAAATGTCAGTCATAATTCCATAGGAGACCATCGGAAAAAATTGGCCATTTATCAAAAATTGGCCATGTAGGGGCTTCGTCACTGACTGGCCAGTAACACAGTTAGGCATGAAAATACCATTTGTTGGAATGTAAGAGATATTCACAGGTCGGAAGGCACCATGTAATTGAGTTTGTGCCAATTCCGTTCAAAAATCTGCCCCACCCCCATTACTGTGGACTGTGCAAAATTGGCCATGTAGGAGCTTCGTCTTTGACTGGCCAGTCCGTCATATTGGATATTCGTCACTGGCCATATTGAGAAATTATAGGAATAAAGAGCATTTCTCCCCCATTGTACACCTAAATATGTCAGATTGGCATCTCAGCTCCTCACTGGCACCAAAAATTTCATTCATATTTCTATCTGAAAGAATTGGCCATATTTTAAAATATTTTAAACAGTTAACCATGAAAATTCCATTATATTGAATTTTTTTTTTATATTAACGTTCCTGATAGCACCATCTTTATCTGAAGAATGTACTATGAGCCTATGAGAGATTCTATTGTATAGAAAATATCGTTTTTTGTCATAATATTGTAATTCATAATTAAATTCTTTCCTTTGTACACAGCCACTGGCCATAAAAATTGGCCATTGGCCACAAAAATTGGCCAAAAAATTAGGGACGAAGCCCTAACTCCCACATTATGTGGACCTACAACTCTTCACTTTCGGAGGTACGAAATTGCTGCTATTTGGTTATCAACAATTGGTGGTCCAATCAGAATCCATTTCTCATAATCAAATATAGGCTAGTTAAGTAAATATGGAGCCCGGGGAATTCAAAATACTTACGAAACCGGTAAAGACTTTTGTAAATGTTTGTGATTTAACTCTTGGATATTTTAAGTTCAAACTTTAACGAAAGGTAAGGAGCATCTTCCTCTTGAGTTGGAGTGTAGTTTTATGTATTTCACGCTTTAAACCACAAAAAGCAGAATGCCCCTTAACCCGAAACGTATGCTATTGATAAAACAATACACAATATACAATTCTAGCCGTTTTAGAAGAATTGGCGGTTTTCTTCTCTTTTGATCAAGAAACTCTTTCTTTTTAGAAAACGCGGTTTAATACTAGAATATCAAGAGGTCGAATAATGTCGTTAAGAACCCAGTTTCAAAACAAGAAACAAAACTCTTAAAGATGGGTTCCCTTACCTTATATGAATTTTTGAGGATAGCTTGCAAGGCAAGGTAACGTACGCCTACTGGCAGCTGGCAAAAATGATAAAACAGTATTTAGTGACTAAAGTACGAATTTTCTCATATTGAAGAAATTTTATTGGTTTGAATTCAATTATATATATATATATGCCAGTTATTTACGCTGAGTAATTACACAATTTTTTTTTAAATCAATATCAATAACCCAAATACAACAAATAATCAAATCTTGTCCACGATCTCATCAATACGTGATCACCCCAAATTTCATTAAAATCAGTTGAAAGCTGTAGTCTCTATTGTGTTCACAAACAAATTTAAAGTGCAAGGCAATATCTCAAAAACCGTTCATCAAAAATACGCCCAAGTCGAACTTGACCTAGATCTTATCAATCTCAAGCATCACACAAAGTTTTATCAAAATCAGATGAAAACTGTAGTCTCTATAGTGCTCACAAGAAATGTTGACAGACGGACGGACGGACGGACCGACGGACATGGGCGACGACAATATACGACCACATATTCAAGTGGGCGTATAAAAATGAAAATGCTAATACTTTTATGAATAGAAAGTTGAGATGTTTTTTTTTTACTTGGAAAAATACCAGTTTGTCTCACATGTCCATAAGTAATTCATAATTAGCTAATTCAAATATCAGCAGAATTCAAATGAGTGACCGATCAAGAAAGGTCAAAACGTCCTTTTTTATTTATCCAGACTGTACATTCATGTACATTGGATTGGTTAAAACTCTTAATTATATGCAATAATAATGATATAATTAAATACACATGGTAACACCAATTAATCAAAAAGTTTGCTTACTTTGACCCTTAAAAAATAAGAAAACCCATCTTTAAGTAATTTATTTTTAAAAGTTACAACCATTCTGGAATGGAATGGATGTGGAGGCCCATTTTTCCCTAATAGCTATTGTAAAGGCTGTCGGCTAGAGTAGGGTCAGAGAAACATAGGCCCTGTTTTATGGGGATTTTCCACACCTCCGTAGGTGCGTGCTTTCTTAGACATATGATTTACCTCCATCGATCATACTATATATGGTGCGGGGGGCATTACTAATTGTTTCGCTTTGTTAGCATCACCAGTGGCGGCGCCAGCCAGACTGACTGACTCGATGGGGAACAACTGTCGAGGTTGAATTCAAAATACGACAACTTAGGTTGTTGCAAACCTCTCATGGAACTTCTAAAAGGATTCTCAACAAATTATTTTTGTGAATTATAACACATATATTTGGGAGTTAAACCGGATAAAAATGATTTTTTTAAATTTGTCAAAAATTAAGTGGAGGTACAATGGGATTGCAAACAATGTTTCTGACCATATGACCCCTGAGCCTTGGATGCGAACACAGTTTTTGATGACCGGCGACCATATTTAGCTTTAATATGTGCAATATTTATATTTTAGGATCACAGATGTGCACGAAATACTCAACTGAAACTTCTGTAATTTTGGAATCATCAACATCCGCTTTCAGCAGTTATCCTGAATCCAGCTTTAGTGAATCAACATGGGTCATTTCAGACACCTCACCATTCGAAATGTCAACGTCAATCGATATGACCTCAAGTGCTTATACGACGACCATGTCGCCAACAGAAATGACCATGAATGTTACTGTTGAAACTGGTACTAATGAAATCTGTTCATGTCGCTGCCGCAAGATCGAAGATGACCCCGATGTAATTGAAGAGAAATTAACCGAAATCAAGAAAAATTTGACAATAAGCATAGTTAAACTGTCCAGTTCTAGACGGAAGAAGACTAGTGCTACTGATAAAAGACCGTCAGCTTCTTCTGTAGGTTATGTTGGTGTTGTTATTTTATCGGTTGTAATGGGACTATTGGTGATACAAGATATTCTTAGTGCATTAATATTTCTCTTCACTCACATTAAAGTAGCACTCACACGTGAAATTTCAATAAGGCCTAATGCTAACACGGCGGAATCGAATAACGTCGAATTGACATTGCCAAGAAAGAGACCAATAATTTTGAATAAAGGAGAGCGAATTTGAAACACTTTGATTGTTAGTGATATATAGCAACATAATATACGGATATGAAATTTTTATTGCCAGGCCCAATTAGACATTTCAGCAAGTAGTTTGTAAAATTAAAACTTTCACCAAGCTTTATGAATATAGAACATTTTTATTATACGTTTACATAGAATTTTTGTACTTCCACGTGATATGGGGAGTGTATATTGACGTCATATTATGGTCGGACGGTTCGTTCTTCAACAATTTCTCGTAAACACTCTATAGACAATTCTTGACGGATTATGATGAAACTTGATGTGTTAATTATCATCCAAGGATGATCCTGATTGAAAATTAAAACAATTGAAAACTATTATATGAATTATTGCCGTTGTCGTTGAAAACCTGGGCAATTTTTACCCCGTAAACTTTCTATAAATATCTCATACTGGTTATTATGTAAGGAACGAATCCTTGTGCCGTAAGGCAAGCCTTTTTATACGCCCACATGAATATGTGGTCGTATATTGTCGTCGCCCCTGTCCGTCGGTCCGTCCGTCAACATTTCTTGTGAGCACTATAGAGACTACAGTTTTTACGGTTATATAGACTACGGTTTTTGAGATATTGCCCTTGACTTAGAACGCCTTGAAATTTGTTAAAAATTGTTCGTGAGCAGGATTGAAGCTACAGTTTTCATCCGATTCTGATGAAACTTGGTGTGATCATTGGAATCGATAAGATCTCGGACAAGTTCTAACTTGACGCATTTTCGATGAACGGTTTTTGAGTTATTGCCCTTGACTTTGTTAAAACGCGTCGAAATTTGTTAAAAATAGTTCGTGCTCAGGATTGAAACTACAGTTTTCAATCGATTCTGATGAAACTTGGTGTGATCATTGGAATTGATAAGATCTCGGACAAGTTCTAACTTGAGGCATTTTCGATGAACGGTTTTTGAGTTATTGACCTTGACTTTGTTAAAACACGTCGAAATTTGTTAAAAATAGTTCGTGAGCAGGATTGAAGCTACAGTTTTCAACCGATTCTAATGAAACTTGGTGTGATCATTATAATTGATAAGATCTCGGACTAGTTCTAAAAAGAGATATTTTTGATGAACATTTTTTGAGTTATTGCCCTTGACTTTGTAAACACGCGTCAAAAGTTGTTTTTTTGCCCTTGATTAGAGCTGTGTGATTTAATTGTTTGTTGTATTTGGGTTATTGATATTGATTTTTAAAAATTTTGTGGAATTATTCAGCATAAATAATTTCTTCAATATGAGAAAATTCGTACTTTAGTCACTAAAGACTGTTTTATCATTTCTTACATCTGCCAGTGGGCGCATGTTACCTTGCATCGCAAGCTATCTTTTATCATTGATTTGTAAGGTGACTGCAATATTGCGATAAATATAATTTAAGATTAATTTGGGAGATAAGTCCCACTTCCCATTATTAAGATATACTATTTTATACATTTCGAAACAACCGAAACAATGGTCACCATAAACCACCTTGATATGATACTATGTGGAGCTTTTACGATAAACAATTTTATTCCGATGGACTAAATCATCTTTCAAAAGATCAAAGGACTAAGGGCTAACCAAACATATATATATATATTGAATAAAACAAATTTCTCAAACCCATGGTGGAATGTTCGATTAATAGCTGAGATTCCAACATACCACACCCAGTAGTATCTCAATAATATAGTTTAATACATCTGAATATTTATTTGAATCTGAAAGTGGCTAAATAGGTTAGTTTTGATTCGGTAGCCATACAC